TCACTCTCTCACTCTATCTGCTTTTCATATAAAAAGAAATACGTTAAATGTTTAAAATTTTTAAATTAAAAAAATATTTCTAAAAAGTAGTAACAGTGCGAGGCTTTAATTTTTCCTCATCTCAAAAGGAAATATTTGAACATTCGATTATTTGGAATGCTTAATGTAGATTTGTATACAAATCAATCATCCAGTTAGGAAAGTTTGTGTTTTTTATTTTCTAAGTTATTTTATCGAGTAAACATTAAGTTTAATAAAAAGCATTTGTTCAAAACTGAAATGATCATGGTCTTTCTTTTTTAACCTATAAACAAAAGTGGATTTTTTTCTAATAGAAAACCAATATTGATTCCTGGTACTAACACAACTAGTTATGAACATTGTGCTACACAAAAGATACTGATTATTAGTGTGATATTACTGTTGGGCATTTTGTACCTTATTCATAGATTAGATTGCCCTGTAGATTTCCCTTTCTTAGTGTTCTGCCCCTGCTTGCAAGTACCTCACAACAGGGTGAATTGCTTTGTGTCTCTCACAAGAGGGGCAACCACCCAAGTCACAAAGCGCAGTCTGGCCCTATCTGCTCAATCGCAATATTCCAATTTCATGACCCAGGATCAAAATAAGTTATTGAATGTTCCATCTTTGTTTTCTTTGGAAGAGTTGCATAAGATTGAAATTATTTGTTCCTTAAATATTAGAAAAAAATCAAGAGACACTGGGTCTCAAATTTTTTATAAGAAAGATTTATTTGTATTTACTGATAATATTTCCTTGATAGTTACTGAATTATCAGTTAGTTTTTTTCTGAGTTCAGTTTTGAAAGGTATGTTTTCAATAAGCTATTTCTACCACAATTCTCAGATGTACTAGCTTAGTGTTTCTAGTATCCTTTTATTATTATTTAATTAATCACTGTATCATGTGTCATTTTGTTCAACCATCATTCCTGCTACTGGGTATTTGTTCCTTCTTCCAATCTTACATTTTTCCTTGACCAATCTCATCAAATTTTGTCTTTTCAAAGAACTAATTTTGAGTTTGATCATTTCCACTACCTTTGTATTTAAAGAATTACTCTCAGTTTTGTGATTGCATTTCTTCAGCTTTTTGGAAGAGAGATTATTTCACTATCATTTTCTGAAAATGATGTTCAGTTCAGTTTACTTTCTGTCCTGTTTCTTCTCTAATGTTAACTTGTAAGGTTGTTAATTTTTCAGCAGTAACTCTTCCTTACATCCTTACCCAGCAGAGACTTTACTCTTTTAATGGCCTTCTGTTAGAGTGGCAAGTCTTTGGAGAAAGAACAATCAAAAATTCAGATGTTTGCATCAATTCAAAACCAAACTAGTCAAAACTTAAACTACACGGATAACTTCATAATCCAGGTGTACTTAATTTCAAACAAATAGCTAAAAGGAACAAATCTGGTTAGCAAGTTAATCATTTGAGGTCAATGGAGTAATGGATTAATGTGAATGAAAATTTAAAACGCAAGCCTTGATGAACTGATCTGTGGAATCAGGGCTTCTCAAATGACAAGCACTGACACCAGGAATCTTTTGAGAGAGCACAGCAGTAGCTTGCATGCCTCACAACAGGGTCCACTGATGTCACCCAACTCACCCAGTCCAGCCCTACTTGGCCAGTAGCAACATTCCATTTTCCCATCCCAGGATCAAAGCCAAGATTCAAGCTCAAAGAATAAGCTTTCTCAAAGGACCCTCTCTTAAGGAACAGGTCCAGAGTCCCAGTCTCTGCTTTTGTGTATTTTGTTAATGGCTCTGACATTCAGGTGCATACATGGTTCCAACTGTGACAGAGGTTCGTTATGGCCCCCTTGCTAACTACAAAGCAACGCACTCCTGCACAGCAATGGAGAGCACTGGAATGGTCGGGGGGAATCTCTGAGCCCAGATCACTGGAGTCTGGATTATAAGTCCAGACCCTAAGAGACTTGCCCCAGGAACTCATCAGCAGACTGCTTAGAAACTCAGACTCGAACATCTGTCTACACAACTATCATTTAAGATGATACATGTCCTGCTAACTCACACACGCATTGCTCCCAGAAATCAGGGCATATATACTTCCATTTTGTGTAATAATTTTGCCATAAAGCAAATTTATTTTTAAGAAAAATGATCTCTGTTTACCACTCTAAATTGTCTTTATTAAACATTGTGACTCCTTTTGGATGTGACGCTCTCATTCAAAATAAAGTGAAATAAAATTACATACAATGTATAAAAAGCACCATTGGAGTGTCTGCATTGAGTTCAGGGAAGTCTCACAGCCAGGCGCCACCCTCCCAAAAGGAAGCAGGAAGCAGGATATACTGAAGAATCATTTCACTGTCTTCCCTATATATACAGCCTCCAGAAGATTCACTTGTTACTTCTGCAGACTCATTTCTGTCCCTCCCAGGAGACTTGTGTAATAGCCCTGAGACGTCCAGGTGAGCTTCTCTGACTACGTCAGGAATTTGTTTCCTGCTACGCATCAAGGAAGGAGGGAGGGGTTGTTCACAAAGTCCCTTCCTTGTGCAGGGAGCTGGGAGTTGGGTGCCTAGGGCTTCTGAATAACAGCTATCTTAGTCCATTTTATGTGGCTAGAACAATATTCCAGAATGATTTATAAAGAAAAGAAGTTTCTGTTTGACCTCAGTTCTGGGGGTTGCAAAGTCCAAGATGGTGGTCCATCTGGTGAAGGAGCACAGGCTATTTGGCCTTCTGGGGAAAAGACAGAAGGGTGGACTAATGCGTACAAAACAGAGAACAGGAGGGTAAGCAAGCTTTCTGGGAATCTGCTTTCAGAATAACTAATCCAGCCCCCGTAGGTCAAGAATCTCCTCACTCCTGTGAGAATTACCCAGTACTATAAGATAAGCATTAATTCCTATTAAGAATCTAATAACCTCCCAAAGGCCTCTCTTGCTCTCAATAACATTATATTGGGAATCAAATTTCAACCTGAAATTCAGAGTGGGCCACCCATCTTCAAACCAATTTCACTCCACTGAGGAAGTGTGAGCTATTGGGTTCTTTAACTTGTGAAAAACGTAAGTGCATGTGCTTGCCTTGAACCCTGGGGGTATAAAAGTGCATGACAGGAGTTTCCTTGCCACTAGTCTCTTTGATTCTTGATTTTCTTTGCACTCTGGTTCTCTCTTTGGTCCTGCTTGTGTGTGCTCTTGGGTAATATCACACATACAAAGAGTCTAACTTCATATGTTTTGTTCACAGAGGTGGTTAGATTATCAGGGCAGCAGGGAATTTGGAGAAACCTGGTTCTCTGTGGGTGAGAAAATTATAAACCAAGAAGCAGAGGGAATAGCTGGATGTCACGAAGGCTTTTTATCCAGTGGGTAAGCTGTGGCAGAAGCAGAGAGGCCTCCAATGCAGTAATAAAACTTCCCAGAAGGATTTACACACTTATATTTCTGCCCCAAATTAAGAAATCACCAAAGGGAAAATCATAATTATGTTTGTATTTCTTTATAGTTTAGTCTACCATTTGCCTTTTAATTACACGTGGAATAGTGGAGACAGCACTCTGTCCAGGCAGGTTTGGGGCTCTAAGTTTATTCAGTTGGCTTTGGGAGTCTCAAGGAACACAACCTTCTAATGATGAACATCATTCTACATCCTGCAAAGGAGAAGAAATACCACACAGCCTATCTGCTTCAAGCAAAGCAATCCTACTGCTCTAAACCTACTTATTCTTGAACTATCAGGAAAATCAATCTCTACCTAGCCATGGGATTCTTTCAATCCCACCTCGGAATTTTTGCAAAAGTACTTAATGTTCCTCTGGGCACGGTTCACACTGGCTGCATATCAGTTGCCCACAGACTCCAGAATGATTTTGCTAAGCATGAAGGCTTTTGGTCCTTTTTAAAAATTTATTTAATATTTTGAGAGGCAGAATTACAGACAGAAGGATAGACAGGGAGGTCTTCCAACTGCTGGTTCACTCCTCAAATGATTACAATGGCTGCTGCTGAGCCAATCAAAAGGCAGGAGCCAGGAGCTTCTTCTGGGTCTCCCACATGGGTACAGGGGCCTAAACACTCAGGCCATCTCCTGCTGCTTTCCCAGACCATTAGCAGGGAGCTGGATCTGAAGTAGAGCAGCCGGGACTCAAATCGGCGCCCATATGGGATGCCAGCACCATAGGCAGAGACTTAACCTGCTACACCAGCCCCAAGGACCTAGATCATGAACCAGGTTAGTGGCAATAGAAATAGAAACCAAAGATTCTGGACAAATTTGATGAATGCATGGGCATTCAAATGGGAGAGGGGATACAGTAATTATCTTAGGCTGTAGTTCTATTCTAACAAAACAGGAGACATAACAAAAGAGCAGGAATTTGATTTTAATATAATAATTGCCAATCCCTGAGCAAACTTTCAGCATGTGTTAACTCTGTCCATCTTTGCATGAAACCCCTTTGAAGTTGATAGTTCCTACATGTAGGAAATGCATGCTGAAATATTCGCTCTAAGAGTAACTGCTGAGCAGGTAGAGAAGAGTTCAGTTTCCTACAGATAGTTTGCTACTGAAATGCTCCACATGTTGATCAAAAGAAAGGATTTGTGTCCATTAGAGAAGTCCAGGCCAGGAATAAGCAATATGGATTGATTACAGCTACTAGAAATAAAGGACAAGCGTAAATGTGCTCTCACCAGCAGCCTGGGGCTTGCCGAGAAGACAGCAGTCAGAGGAGGCCCGTGCTGGGCTGGTAGAGGTGAGGAAGGGATGAAAGGCGATGTGTGAGTGCTGAAGACACACTGAGGGAGTGAGACTCCTTAGAAAGAGAAATACTTCTCTAGAAATAGTTCTAGAGACTGAAAAACCAGCTAGATGTAATGACATAAGCTCCGTGAACCTGGCCACAGGCTCTACTGGAAGAGAAGGTAACTAAGGCTTCTATCCATTTTGTCATTTTATTGACCCTTCTGTGTCTTCAATGTTCTCGCAGCACCTGACAGCATGGCGACGACACATGCTACTGCCTTTCAGTACCTCATGAAGGATGTGACAAGCTGGAATATTCCTTCAGGCCCCCTCCCCAGTGAACTATTTCTTACTGGAGAAGCTGCCTTCCCAGTGATGGTGAATTTTGAAGGTCGTGTGGTCATTGCTGCCTCCTCTTATGGCAAGGGCCGCATCGTGGTCATGGCCCATGAAGGATACCTGATACATGCACCTTTGGCTCAATTTCTTGTCAATGCTGTGCGCTGGCTCTGCCTTTCCCCTGGGGCCACCATTGGAGTGAGCCCCTCCCAGGCACCACTTGCAAAAATCCTGCAAAACTCTGGGGTTAAGGCACAGATCCAGTCAGAACCTACAGAGTCCCTGGGGGTTTACTGCCTTGAAGCCTACAATACCAGCATGAACAAGAAGATACTCTCGTTTATGAAACGTGGAGGAGGAGTGCTCATTGGAGGCCATAGCTGGGCCTGGGCAGAGAAAAACGGCAATGATAAAGTGCTCTTTGAGTACCCTGGGAACCAACTGACAGGTGTGGCTGGAGTATACATCACTGAAGCTGGTGTGTATGATGGGCCTTGGATGGTCTCTGAGACAGTGCCCGCCATCCCACTCGGTGTCATGTGAGTGATGATTCTCTAAGGGGAGTCTAATCCATATCAAAAAGCAGTCTTGTTCCTCACTTTTAAGAACTTCCAGTTTTCAAAGTAGAAATTGGCCACTTAGGAATGGAACCATTACAAACTACAAATGCAAGTATAAAAATGACCTGTGTTAGTCAATGGCTTCTTTTCTATCTCCACTATGACTTGAGTATTCAAGGCTTTGAGGGTAGGGTATTCCTCTGTTCATCTACTGTCATTCCCCCTCATTTTGAATCATGAGAAAGATATTGGTAGCATGGAGGGAAAAAAATCTACAAAGTTCATGAAAGACAAGAATTGTCTGTTCTGCTTACAATTATATCACTAGCGGATAGTGACATGACATAGTAGGTGCTAAATAATCACTGATTGAATGAGTGAAAGAAATCAATGTATTCTAGGGATGTCAGGAAAAATGCGACATGTCACAGTCTACAGGAACCTCTCCACAGGAGCCACAGGGGGAATGGTTTTCTCAGAGTTAAAATGGAGATGCAGCGTGGTAGAGAGGTCAGGAGAAGTCCCCTACATCTCCTTCCAAGGTAGAGCAGGATTCCTTTGGTATGTAAAGATTAGAGAAAATTTGGACATATATTAGATCAAATGAACTAGAACCCTCCTGTGACTTAAATCAGACAGGAAAGTACTTGAACGTTCTTTCTCATTTACCTAACTCTCCTATACCCAGAAGTCTACCTTTTTCTTTGGCACAGATGGGTATTGGCTGTTACTCAATGTTTCAAAATTAACATATTTACATGTCATTGTATAGAAATTTAAGGGTGTTTTGAAATACAGTTCCAAAATGATGAGCAGTTACTTCAAAAATAGTTATTTTTGAAATAATAGATACTGACAAATTGCCATTTAAAAAACTATACAAAACTGCACTCATAGAAAAAAATATAGTCCCAGGCCAGGGCTAATACTGAACAGATGAATTTTCTTTTGATGTTATTTTCATGTGGAATGTGAAAAATATTATTTGATTTGTATTTCTCTGATTACAAACGCAGAGAGTATTTTTACATATTTATGGTGATTTATGTTTCTCCTTGAAATGTCTATTTATGTCCTTTATCTATTTCTTCTATTTAGTTTTTGTCTTTTTCTTATTGATTGTTAAGTGTTCTTTCTATATATGAAGATATATCAAAAAGCTTGTCGAGGTAGTACTACAATAAAACTTTATATAGTTGCAAATTTTCAAACATTCATTCATAGTTTTTTATCATATTTTTCATGAACTTTTAAAGACTTCCTGTAGGTAACAGTTTTTTGTCTCTCTTACAATATTACAAATATCTCTTTCCATCACTTGTTCTTTAAGTTCCTTGTTGGTGCTACATAGGTTGCATATCTTTTTGGTAAAATTTGTCTATTCTTTTCCTTTTTTAAAAAAAGTTTTAAAAATTTTTTTTATTTATGTATTTTGTTTAAGTTATACAAGTTTCATATATTTCTTTTTACTGTTT